AGTTCGAATTTAACTATACATAGGTCTATTTTTTAAATTCCATTAGTTTATTTCAAAAAAAATATTCATATTCTAGAATATCACCATTCAATAGAGAACACCAAACGAATATTAATCCCAATAGATCGGAAATAATTAAATCAAATCAAGTATATTTATTGACCTTTCGTAATCTTCCTCATTGATAAACCTTCCATTTACTATCTTCCAAAATTTCGGGTTTACCTTCTCCAATAATCGTAATAGAATTCCAATTTAAATGTTCTTGTTGTTCTAAAATTTTCGCGGCCTTTTTAACGTCATCCTCTGTAACTGATAACAATTGTTCACGTCGTCTTTTAAAAAAAAATTAAAAAAATTAATGATTATGTTGTTTTAAAGTATAAAAACAAAATTTTGAACCATACAATTGTCTCATATCATCACTAATCCGATCTTCAAAATATATTAAACCTTCTTGTGCAACACTTATTGGTGCATCTATACTCTGAAATATTGATAATTTTGCTTCATCCATTTCCTAACATAAAAAGATTATTCAATCGTCATGATAACTAAATGAACAAGAGTTCAACAGAAAATATTAACCTGTTGACTAAACTTCCGATTCGCTACCCAATCAATCGCTTGTTTGTAAGTTTGTAGAGTTTCCAAAGTTTTGGGATCCCGGTATGAAAAAAATGAAAATATGCCGCTTGTAGGGGAGTACATCGCACCACCCCCATATGCTCCATTTTTTTCTCGAATTTCGCGATGTAAGTAATGTATTTTCATTAAAGATGAAAGAACCTTTAATTTTAGGCAAGTTTTATATTGATTGGTGTGTATGTAAAAATGTATAGTGTAATTCTCGTTTCTATCGAGAATAAACACCCTTATTTATAACTTTTTGAGGCCAAATTTCTCGGGTTATGTTGGTTAGATGCTTTTAATCTTCCCAGTAAAACGATTCGAATGGTATAAAATAATCTAAATCCTAACACTGTATCCAAAGAAATTTGACCTTGAAACTTAAAAAGGAGTGCTTATTCATGATATGCAAATACAAAATACCTGTAATTTAGGGCCATCGGAATGTGTATAAGGTGCGCCACGGAAGCATTTCGCAGAAAAATTTACTGCAAAAGGTAATGGGAAAAATACTTTTTCGGGTGACATCTGAAATTTTGGCTTTAAACAAATTTAATAATTTAATATTAGTAAATAGGATAATATATGAATTTAAGTTAATAGAACCGATCATAATTCTTACTCTTTCAATAACATGATTACTACTTTTAGTAGTATCTGGAAAATTCGGTAAAAACCTTTTTAGCATAGCTTCATTCTGATTAACAGCTTCTGTACCACAAGTGATTGCAACTCGCAGTGATGGTTTGCTTAGTAAATATAAGGATATTTCCTAAAAATTTTGTGAAACAATGAATGAAATTGAAGAATAATCTATGCCTCGTTAATTTTTTTAATGAATACTTAATAAAATACCTTCAATTTGTC